CCCATGTAGACTTCTCTTCCACACATATTCATATCAAAATTCTATACCTTTTCAATAACAACAATAATAGAAATAACAATAACAACTACCATTTGTTGACTGTTTCCATGCCAGGCATTCTACATACATTATCTAATGCAATCCTCACAACAACCCTGTGAAGTAGATATTATTGTACCCGCTCTGCATATAAGGGACCTGAGGCTTAAATGTCCAAGATAAACACAGCAACTAAATAACAGAGGCAGAAAACAAACCATGGTCAGGCTGACACCAAAGTCTGCTTTTCTTATTATGCCACTTGGAGCCTAATATCGTCTGCAAACACCCCCTGCATCCTAGAATCTAAGACCTAGATCACTGCCATGAAAAGAATTATTTTCTCTTCTATCTCCCACAGTATTTTGTGACTCTTTTGTGGAAGGTACCTATTGCATTAAACTGTAAATCATAATATAAACAGAATTATTATTTATATTGCTTATCTTTTGGGCAGAAAAATATGTCAGGGCAAATCCATGACCCCCCCTAAGAAAACCACTCACACGCAGGTTCCAATTTGTATGTATATTCAAATCCCAAGGTCACCTCAGCCCAGGTATGTGACCTTGAATAAGTAACCAAAATTTTCTCTTCATTTTTTACTGATTAGTTTAATGAAGGATAATAATAATGTATGCCTCATGGGGTTATTGTGGGGGTTAGACACTAGAACTGTGCTTGGTAAATAGTCAATATTTAATAAATGTTTGCTACTGTTAACTGTTGAGACATATAAATATTATTGTGGTAAAAGGAATGGTTTGGAGCCCCCCTGTAAAGGAAAAATCTCACTGTGTTTCTGTCTACTCATGACTCCAAATGTTGGTAGGGGTTTTCCCCTCACCAAGTAGTTAGTTCTCCAATTTGGGGGGGACACCAAGTGGGGGCCTTACAATTTAACTCAATTCTGACGCTTTCCACCTGGATGGCCTACAATTGGAGTCAGCATCAGATCCCACAGGTGGAGGGTTCAGTCCCCCGCCCCACTTCAGACGCCAATCACAAGTCCAGGTTGTCACCGTGTGTTCCCATGCCCCCTCCTCTGTCTGATAATTTGCTAGAGCAGCTCACAGAACTCAGGAGAACAGTTTACTTTCTGGATTACTAGTTGACTTACAAAAGAATATGCAGAGGGCCAGGTATGTGGCAGGGGTGTGGTGCTTCCGTGCCCTCTCCAGGCACACCCCTTTCCGAGCACCTCTGCATGGTCACGAACCTGGGAGCTCCCTCAGTCCAATTCTTTAAGAAAAGAAAAATTTTTAATGGAGGTTTTACTGTGTAGATATGACTGATGAAATTATTAGCTATTAGTAATTGAATCAACCTTCAGCCCCTCTCCCCTCCCTTGAGGTAACGGTGGAGGGTGGTGGGGCTAAAAGTCCCAATCCTCTAATCACATGGTTGGTTTCCTTGGCAACCAGCTCTCATTCTCTGGTTATCTAGGAGCTTTCTAACAATCACCTCATTTCTCCATTAATGCTCTTGAGCTATTTCAGGAATGAAGGTAAAAAAACAAATATTGTAACAAAAGATGCTCGTAAGCTCTAATCACTTAGGTAATTATAAGTGTTGTAGGAGCTGTGAGCCAGGAGCTATGGGTAGACACCAAAAAAAAAAAAAAAAAAAAACTCTCCCACACACAAATATATATATATATATATATATATATATATATATATATATATATATATATATATCTTACATATATATATATATCTTTTTATATATATGACAACATTGCATACTCCTTGGGGGAGAATTACTCTTTCCTGCCCCATTGAGGCAAGGTTTGACCATGTGACTTGCTTTGTCCAATGAAAATTGAGAAGCAGTATGTGCTATTTCTGAGCCAAAGCTTGAAGAGCCATTGTGTGGTCTGTCACCTTCTCCTTTCTGTCCACCACAAATCTGTTTCATCAGCCTGGGAGACTCGGAATGAAAATGATAGGAGCAGGACTGTGATGGACAACCAGGCTGTGATGGACAAGTCATGTATCTGAGGCATAAAGCCGTGTTTTTATCGGCCCCTGAAATTCAGCGGTTGTTGGTCACCGCACTGTTACTTAGCCTAGGCTGACAGATACAGTTGTTAAAGTAGATTTATAGAAAGCTTCTAATTTAAGTATTTGCCTGCTCTGTCATTACTCATTGATCCTCTGCAGACTCAAGCCATTAAGCAGTTTTTACACCAGCCTGTCAGGCCCCTTCCCACTGAAATAGCTTTGGAACTTCATCTCACAGAAATTGGATGATTCCAGAGGCCCTGGGATGTTTGTTATCAGGTGCCTGCCAGTTTTGCAGAACCCATGGCGTTCTAAAGTAGAGAAACAAAACCCAGGTTCTAAAGTAGAGCCCTATTAACAAGCTCTTCCTAATGAAGAGCATATTGTCAAGTGCATAGACTGGGGTGTGCCTAGTGACTAGTGTGCACAGCAGCTGTAGCTGGTTAAGCTGGTCTTTGGCGATTGTAGAGATGGTTGGAAATGTCTGGGCCTGGCTGTGTTGTCAGGGAGCCCCATCCCCTCAGCCTTTCCATAGCTCAGCCCTAGTCTGGGGTTCTTCTCAGGAGAGGCCAGCTCTCAGGTGAGCCTTTGCTGCTACACAGCAGGCCCATGACCTCAACAAGCTGCCTTGCTGTACCCTGAGCTTCTGTCTCCTCTGACTTGGAGAGGGGCACTGTCTGTCTAGCTCCCAGAGCTAACAAAAGATGCTCGTAAGCTCTAATCACTTAGGTAATTATAAGAGTTGTAGGAGCTGTGAGCCAGGAACTATGGGTAGACACCAAAAAAACCCAATGGGTAGACACCAAATTTTTTATATATATATATATCTTTTTATATATGTGACAACATTGCATGCTCCTTGGGGGAGAATTACTCTTTCCTGCCCCATTCAGGCAAGGTTTGACCATGTGACTTTCCTTGCTGTCACTCAAGAAAAGCACTTGCATCCTTTTATTAGCCTTTTTTACTGCTTATTTTATTAAATGAGGAAAAAAACAAGTATGGGTGAATTTAGAAAGTTCCAGATTCCATCCAGTTAAAATCCAGTGTACAGTCCATGACTCCTTCTGGGATAAACTTGGATTTCCCCTTGCTAGATGTCTGAGGTCGGAGCTCCCACAACCTCTCCTACAGATTATAATTGATGCCCCAACCACTGAGCCACATCAGCTGGGCCCCTGCAGCCCTTTGAATCCAGGATCAGGAATGTAGCTCAGCCTTGATAGTGCCTAGAAGCAGAACCTGGAAGGTTTTCAGAAACCCAAACAGTTTCCTCTTCCCTAAGTGTCATGCACAACTGCTTCATGATTCCTCTGCTTCAGAGCAGTGTTCTGGCCCTCCCTGTGCTTATGAAAAATACAGCCACCCCACAGCCCTCAGGTTGACTTCCTGGAGATGCCAGCCCCCATTCACAATGCTGTGATGAGAATTTCACAGGTATTAACTATTTTTATTCTCAGGACAACCCTATAAAGTAGGTACCTTTACTATAACCAATCACCATTACCCTATTTTGCAAATAAGGACATTGAGGCCAAGAAGAGTTAAGACAGATTTTCTAGCTCATAAAGGGAAGGTTCAGGATTCAAACCAGATAGTCTGACTCCAAGGGTCATACTCTTGGGTCACAACCCTCTGAATCCTAAGCCCAGATTTCCAGAGCGGAGAACCTGGTAGACTCAACATGTGGCAGGAATAGCCCTGGTGTCTTATGAGTTATACCAGGCAGCTGGGGTTATTAGTACAAACATGGAAGCTGAAGATGAGGAGCCATAGGCTGAGGTGTGTGTGTATGTGGGGGGGAGATGCAGGTTTCAGAAAAAGTGGACATTACATAATAAGCATTACTCATAAAGGCATACTACACCCTGTGCAGTAAGAGTTCACATTCCACATTCACTTGTGAACTGATTGAAGATTTGGCAAGTTCAACTACTTATTTCAGGCTATGAATAAGCGAGACAAGATTCAACACTACCCATCGACTTCGTAAGCCTTACTGTACATAATACACTTTCGGAGGAGGATGACGAGGACAGCTGAGAGAATGCATTATGTGACAGATTGTATGTTCCAAAAAGGACTAACACAAGTATTTCCCACCCCACATAATCTTCCTAGGATATTAACTTTGACATTTCCCCCAATGAGATAAGGGGAACATACTCATCCCCTTGGATTTGGGAGGGTTTGGATGGCTATGGCAAAAGTGACACTCCAGGCCTTCTAAGGTAAGGCCATAAAAGATGATACGGCTTGCTCTGCACCCTTGAAATGCCCACTCTTGAAACCTAGCCACCATGCTGTGAGGAAGCCCCAGTCAGAAAGACCACATGGAGAAACCTTGAACCCAGAGAAAGAGAAATGCCTGCCCCAGCTACCATCTGGCTGCAAACTCATGATAGAACCAGAGCTGGAACTGCCCAGGTGAGCCCTTCTCAAATTGTTTTAAGCCGCTAAGTTTTGGGAGGATGTGTTACACAACAACAGTAACCAGACAAGCATATTCGGAGGAACAGCTGTCTTCAGGAGGACATGAGAGCCATCTTCAGGTATCTGAGGGCTACCATGTCTAAGTGGAGTTCGACTTGACGTGCGAAGCTCTAGAAGACAGCACTAATATCTGCAGTTGGGGATATGCCAGGGAGGCAAAGGTGATTCTTCACAGAGATCTTCTCTAACTGTAGAACTTTAAAGCAGTCAATGCAACAATGAATACTCTGCCACCAGACATATTCAAGTAGAGGATGACCACCTTGGGGGATGTTGCAGAAGGCCCAGAAGGCCCCAAAGGCGCTTTCCAGCTCTAGAAGATATAATTCCAAATGAGTTAAGGCAAAACCTGTTTTGTAACATTTAGTAAACCCTTCTTAGAACAGGTAAGGACTAATCTGGGCTTTTCAAGTTGGAGAGGGTTGGGAAATGTGAAAAGCGGAAGGAGGGACCACTCAGTAAAGAGCCAACGGAAACTGTTTATTTAGCCAGCGACATCAAATTAATCATGCCCCTCCCCCTTTAAGACCCACTCTTTCCTCACCCATTCATGGTGTGTTATGGGCCAGCATCCTTCCAGACCCTTTCTCAGTCACCTGCAGCCCTTTTGGCTCACTCAGTGCTCAGTCTCATTGGTTGCTAAGCCATTCCTCTCTTATCTCCACAATTAAGTCCTGCATCTGTTCCTTGTGTTCCATTTGCACTGTCAATGGCTTTGTTCATGCCATCATCAGCTCTCATCTGGATGACTGCAACATCTCTTGGCATAGTCTCCTGTGAAATCATTCCTCAGAATGCTCTGAATGTGCCAGACCTTCTCTCTGAAACCAAAGCCTTCGTTCAGTTTTCACAGCCTTTAGAACAGGGTTGAAATTTCTTAGGCACACAAGGCCTTCATGATGTGGCAGAGAATGAGGGCAGGAGGTAAAAAAGGATGGGTCAGGGACAGGCAGAGACACTAATTCCTGCTTTAGTTTCTTTCTTTCTTTTTTTTAATATATTTTATTGATTTTTTACAGAGAGGAAGGGAAAGGGATAGTTAGAAACATCGATGAGAGAGAAACATCCATCAGCTGCCTCCTGCACACTCCCCACTGGGGATGTACCTGCAACCAAGGTACATGCCCTTGACTGGAATCGAACCTGGGACCCTTCAGTCTGCAGGCCGACGCTCTATCCACTGAGCCAAACCGGTCAGGGAAGTTTCTTTTTTAAAAAATATATTTTTATTGATTTCAGAGAGGAAGGGAGAGGGAGAGAGAATCAGATCAACTGCCTCCTGCAGGCTCCCTACTGGGGACGGAGCCCACAACTCAGGCATGTGCCCTTGACCAGAATCAAACTAGGGACCCTTTAGTCTGCAGGGTGACGCTCTGTCCACTGAGCCAAACCAGCTAGGGCCCTGCCTTCGTTTCTTAAGGCTGCTATAACAAATTACCAAACTGTTTGGCTTAATACAACAGACATTTATTTTTTCACAATTCTGGAGACGACAAATCCAAAATCAAGGTGCTAGAAGGGCTCTGCTCCCCCTGAAGACTCTAGGGAAGAATTCTTCCTTGCCTCTTTCTGGCTTGTCAGAGCTCCTGGAAAATCTTGGCGGCTGCATCACTCTAATCTCTGTCTCCACCTTCACATGGTCGTCCCTGGGTGTGTGGGTTCAAATCTCTCTCTCCTTTCTCTTATCTTAAAAATACCAATCATTGGATTTAAGGCCCATTGGGGTTTAAGACTTGAAGGTATCTCTTGGAGACACAATTACACCCTCGATATTTTACACTGGTGGAAACTACAGCTCGATGGCATAACATGGGGATGGAGTCTTGCTTGTGAAAAAGTTTGGGATGAAATGCAGTATTTCAGGAGCCGAGGAGCTAATATTAATAGGATACGTCAGATGGCCAGGAACGCTTCCTGAACAATGGAGTAGCATGCATGATCACACAGTAAAGTTTTACTCAGGAAAAATCAATCTGGAAGCTAGATATAGAAAAGAGTATAGAAGATAAAGTCAGAAAATTCAGGTAAGATGTCACAGTAGCCCAAAGGCGAGCACACAGGCACAGAATTAGACTGTAACCCCCAGGAAGCTGTTAATTCTGCCTCTTTTGTTCAGCGATATTTCCCAAGAACCTAGAACAGTGTTCGTCACATCACAGGTGCTGGGTACACATTTGTTGACTAGCTGAATGGGTGGAGGAAGTAGATGCCACAGACCCGTTCAGAGGTGGACCGAATTAGCTGGTCCTGGCACATGACAGGGGTGGAGAAGTAGCATCAGTTGAGCATCACTTAAAGTCAAGCCCATAATGGGCACCTGTTCCAGACAGAACCCAGCCTCTCTCATACCACCTGCAGCCTGGCATTATATCCGACTCTGGGCTATTCGCTACCGTAGTGTGCACCTGGAGCACAGGAGACATAACTTCGTTCATGTTTGAGCGTGTCCTCCACAGCACGTTGCACACAGTAGCCCCCAATACAACTTTCGGTGAACTTATGCATAATTAAATTTCTACAAATACACAAAATCGAAAGGCTTTCCCAGATCGAAACTCTGGATTTTACACTTCTGTACGCTTCAAAGCGCCTGCCGGCGCATGGCGCCTAAAAGCCCTTGTTTAACCAAACAGAATAAATCAGATTCACCCAGTTCCGCCCTGGCAGCGACGTCTGCACTTGGCAGGACAACAGAATCCACTGCCATTAAATTCTTATGTAAGAGTTAATGACCCTCCCAGCCCACTTGACATGCCTCCCACCACAGCGAAGTGGAAGGGAAGGGAAAGGAAGCGAAAGCACTATTCGCACGCACACACATACTCTCTCGGTGGCAGATGCACAGATTAATTTCTAGCTTCGGTTCCCCACAACGATCTTAAAACACCGCTGCAGGCGCGGCGTGGCGCGGGCGTGCGGAGGGGCCGGCGCGCGGCGTTTGGTTCAGGCGCATTGAGCTCCCGGGGAAGGCCTGCCCACCCGGCACGCCCAGGCTCCGGGGCTGCGGTGACAGCGGCCCCAGAAGGGGACTCAGGTCCCCGCGGGATCCGCGCGGGCGCCGGTGCAAGCTCGGTCCGGGCGCCCCGCCCCGGACTCCCGCGGCCCCAGCCCCGTGGTCGCCGGGCCCGCCGGCTCCGCAGGACGCCGCGCGCGGCCGAGTCGGGCCTCCCCGAGCCTGGGGCCCGGCGGGCGGGCGGGCGGAGCGGCGAAGATGGCGGTGCGGCCGGGCCCCCGGCGGCCGCGAGGGGCCGCGGTGCTGCGCGCTCGGCTGGGCCCGCGCGGCTAGAGAGGCGCCTGGGCCGGCGCGGCCTCCTCCCCGCCCGCGCGCCCCGCCCCGCCCCGCGCCCGCCCCTCCCCGGGCCGCGGCCGTGCCCCGCGTCGCGCTCCCCCGGGATGGCCCGCGCGCCTCGGCGCTGCCTCGCGGAGCTCACGGCGGAGCGGCGGCGGCCGCGCTCGGGGGGCGCGCGCCGGTGGCGGCGGCGGCGCTGCGCGTGAAGGGCCGCCTCGGGCCGCGCGGGCGCCGCCAACATGTCGGATACCAAGGTAAAAGTTGCCGTCCGGGTCCGGCCCATGAACCGACGAGGTGAGGAGCTTTCCGCGGGTTTCTCTCGGGGGTCTGGCCGGGGAGGGCGGGGGCAACTTTGGCAATTGCGGGGCGGCGGGGCTGGGCGGCGAGCGCGCAGCCGAGGCCGGGGAGCCGGGCGGAGGCGGCGCCCGCACCGGCCGTGCAGACCCGGGCGCCGGTGTCCGGCTCGGCCGCCTCCCGGGAGAGCCCGCGCCGGCGGGATGCTGGACTTTGCAACGTTCGTGTTCCCTGTGCTTTCAGAACTGGAGCTGAACACCAAGTGCGTGGTGGAGATGGAAGGGAATCAGACGGTCCTGCACCCTCCTCCTTCCAACACCAAACAGGGAGAAAGGTATCGCGGGCGCACGGAGGGCGGGAGGAGGACCTGACCTCGTAGTCTCCAAGTTTGAGCCAGGAAAATGGGAGTCTCTTTCCTATTGTTAGGGGGATTGGCTTCAAGTTTGTCGCACGCTCCCGTCTGAAGCTGTTGCAAGTCCAAGTTCCTCTCCTCCCTCCCCGCGCCCCGTCCACCCCCCCTTCTAGAGCGGCATCGGCCGGCACCCTGGCTGGAGCTCGCACCAGTCAGCTGTGTCCCCGGCAGGCCCAAGCCTAGAGGCACCCGGACATAGAGGGGCCGGATGGGTGGGATCCTAAAGATGATTAGTCTAACAGGCACATTTTACAGATAAGAAAACTGAGGCCAGAGTGGGCAGGTGACCACTCCAAGACCTTGTTTTTCGGGGGACCCAGTGTCCCACTTTCTTTCCACCGCTGCACTGCCTTGTTCATTTGACAGTATTTTGTGTGTAACATGAGAGAGGACCCCACAATAAAGCAAAAACAGTCTTGTAAGATCTAGGCTGAGGCCTGGACCATTTAAAATCTTTTTGGTGGTGATGTTGGGTTGAGATAATGCCTGAATGTAATATGCGAAGTTTGATTTTCAAGGAAACAAAAGTATTGTCCTAGTTGTGTAGACACTGGGGGGCATTTTAAAAGGGGGCTGCGTTTACCAGAGGGCAACCTATTTGCATTTGAAAAGTTGTAACTGTTGGATCCTTATTAATTCTGCTCTATTCCACCCAGCAGTATGGGAAAATGCCCTAAAATAATTTAAATATTTGGCATTTTTCTGGTAAGCCCTTGAGAAGAAAAAGGTTGGAATTCATTCAACATAGCAATGCATTAGCTTACAAAATATAGGAATGAAAAACCGGGAGATTTGGCAAAATTAATTCCCCTAGAGATCAGTATGAGTTTGTGTTCCTAGTCACCTGTTGACTGATGCGCTACAATTTAGTGATTTTTGCTCTTCAAAGGTTTTCAATGGAGACTCTGAAGTAGGATTTGTTACTTTATTGCTAAAGGAAGCAACTGCCTCCATTCTATAATCATGTGGTGTTCAGGCACAGTTTTGCTAAATTTGGGGGAAGCAATTATCAGGATGTAAGATTTGGTGTTTTGTTTGTTTGTTTGCTTTTTTGTACCAAAGCTAGCACGTTTGCAAATATTTTGCTACCTAGAGCAGATTGTTATGGTTATCGCAAATAGCTAAGTTATATTTAAAATGCTGTGTTAAATACTTTTAAATGATGGGTGTATCCTTGGGTAATATTTTTAGATACATTTTAAAGATAGCATTTTAGATACATGTTTAGCAGTGTAGTTGTACATTTCATGGTTAGTAAGTAAACTCATTGAGTACATGAAAATATCACCACCACCCCCAAACAATATTTTTCTGTTGTTTCAGAAAAAATTCTGTTGGGTTAGGTTCTTTAAAGCAGTCTGGGAAACAGGTAGAATATTCTAACTGCTGTTATGTAGCTGCTGTTTCTCTTTTGGTTCCTTGCACCTGTTCCTTGTCACTCTTAACCATAAGGAATGCTACTGTTAGGTACTGTTTAATGAGATGAAGTTTTATCATTTGTGGTGAGAAATATTTATTTGTGGAATTTGGGTAGTAATTATAACTGTAGACAGTTGATTAGAAATGCTAAATAATCAGTTGATCATTTTTAGGGCTTTCCTGGCCACTGCCATCATTAATCAGGATCTTTTAAGTAAACATTTGTAGGATGCTTTCGGGATTTATCCATCTGCTTGCTTATTGGAATAGCCCCTTCTCTGAAGCTATAAGAATAGCATTGAAATATGGGTGTTCTCTTGTTTTGTCCTTCTGACAGATCTGATTCTTTGAGTGGTAGATGGGCCCTTTCTGTGGGGTTCTGCCTGGGTACCAGTCATTTAATTTACAGACCAGCTGAGAGGGGTCAGTCAATGCAACAGTGTTGCTTGTAGGTTAGGATTACTGTGTTGCAAGGATGGAGACACCAAATGCATTTTGATTTTCATTATGCAGCTTGGTTTCATGTTTCTCCACCAGGTTTTCCCTTAAAGCAACAGTGCATTTAAAAATAGAAACAATTCCTCCCTTGGGCTCTGGGTTGATTAATTGTGATAGTGCTTCAGGTTATGTTCACAATTTATTTCTATCATTTGTTTTGGGATAGTGCTCAGGGAAAGGCAAAAATATTATCTTTCTTACCTAGAAGTCCAAGGTTTGACGTCTTAGAAGTACTTAAAGTAAATTTGGCAAAGCTGTATCAAATTGAGAAGTGCCATTTTCCTGAAAATTGCAAGAAATTATTAATGTATTAGTCATAAATAGAAATTTTAAGTTACTGGGTGAAAGTTTTGAATCCTACCAGTAAAACGAGTGAGAGGGCATTGATTTCCAGGAAAAGAAACAGACGGGCTTAGCTTTCATAATTTTCCCACTTTATGGACTCAAAGCCAAGACTACATGGTGAGGGCAAAGATCACAGGGCTTCTGAGGTTAAAATGTTTTGTTTTGGTCCTGATACTCTAAGGTTATAATATACTGCAGAGGTCCAGAGGTCCAGAGTAATGGTTGATGTGTATACATACCATTGCTATTCTGAAACATTAAGACATATGAATTGGTTTCATTTTTTTTTTTTTTTTTTTTAAATTTTATTGATTTTTTACAGAGAGGAAGAGAGAGGGACAGGGAGTTAGAAACATCGATTAGCTGCCTCCTGACACCTACTGGGGATGTGCCGCAACCAAGGTACATGCCCTTGACCGGATCGAACCTGGGACCTTTCAGTCCGCAGGCCAACGCTCTATCCACTGAGCCAAACCAGTCAGGGCTGAATTGGTTTCTTAAAATGCAGTTGTATTACTATGCAGGAGACATATGACACCATACTTGGTACAGGAGATCCAAAGGTAACTATAGGCCCAGTAACTGTGGGCCTGACAGAGGGTCTCACCTTTGAGAGATGGGGGGAAACATTAAAAAAACAATGTGGTAGTTTATGTAGACTATACTTTTGCCCTTGCATGCACTGTATTATTTGCAAATCACCTATTTCCTCTTCAGCCTCCTCATTGAGCCTGTGAGCTCCCTGAAGGCAACTATCTTGTCCTACTTACCTTTGTGACCCGTGCCCCTAAGCAGCACCTGGCTCAAAGCAGGTGCTCAGCAAACACCTGTGCCTCGTAGGTTCCCAGTGTGGCGGAGCACTGAGGAGGGGCTGTGGGAGCGACCCAGGGTCTGGCACCCTGCAAAGACAGGCGGCATTTATGCTGGCCATGTGGGTGCTAATAGTGTAGCAAGGACAGGAAAAAGTCCTTGTCAGATAAAGTTAGAGCATACCTTCTTCTGGGCGATTGTACACACACACACACACACACACACACACACACACACACACACCAGTTCAGTTCAGGAAGGGGGAGTAGAATGAGAACCCCTAATTTGCCAAAATGGGTTGTAGTTAAAAAATCAAAGTATAAAGAGACATATGGTAAAAAGCCTTCCTTTCACCCTTGCTGTCACTCCTACTCTTCCCATCCCCTCACCTCTCAAAAATAAAGATAACCGCAGTCATTTATTTTTCATTCATATTTTCAGATACACACTTATATATTGTTTATATGTATTTTAATAAATATTATGTGTATATATGTATATATGCAGGTTTGGGCAAAGGTATGTTTACAGTTTGATTGTGAAACAGTTCATTCTTGTATTTATTATTGTATTATTTATCATATAACCAACTGTAAACCTACTTTTCACCCACCATATATATATATATATATATATATATATATATATATATACATATATATTTTATTGTATTTTTTAAATGTATTTTATTGATTTCTTACAGAGAGGAAGGGAGAAGGATAGAGAGTTAGAAGCATCGATGAGAGAGAAACATCGATCAGCTGCCTCCTGCACACCTCCTACTGGAGATGTGCCCGCAACCAAGGTATATACCCTTGACCGGAATCGAACCTGGGACTTTTCAGCCCGCAGGCCGACGCTCTATCCACTGAGCCAAACCAGTTAGGGCTATATATATATTTCATTAAAAAAATTTTTTCAATCACCATCTGAGGATATGTTCTTTTAAAAATTGATTTGAGAGAGAGGTGAAGGAGAGGAGGAGGAAGGGGGGGGGGAGAGAGAGAGAGAGAGAGAGAGAGAGAGAGAGAGAAAGAGAGAAAGAAACATCGATGTGAGAGAGAAACATTGATAGGCTGCTCCTGTATGCTCCCCAACTGGGAATTGAGCCTGCAACTTGGGTATGTGCCCTAACTGGGAATCAAACCCACAACCTTTGGTTTATGGGATGACGCTCCAACCAACTGAGACACAGCAGCCAGGGCCCTACCCTGTGTATTTAAATCAGTATA